CACTTTACCTCCTCGTTGCTCCACGTTTGCCCTCTGCTCATTTTGTTTTGGTTACACCGCGTCGCCAAATCATGTCGCATAGCGTCGCATCTTGTCTAGGGATGCACCGATATGAAAATTTTGGCCGATACCGATAACCGATTATTCTTTATTTTTGAAAGCCGATAACCGATATGTTGGCCGATAAATCTATATCCAAATTGTTATATACTTTTTGAGAGCCTGATTACAAAAAAGGTCTCATCATTAAAAGCCACATCCCAAACACTTCAACATAAGCAGCCTAGTTTGAACGGTGTACGTTTTAAAAATATTTTTACTCTCCCATTACCAACCGGTAAACTGAAGTGCTCTTTTAACTTAACCAAACGCATTCTATATGAGATAAATCAGATATACATCAAATAAACACAATATTACAATGTACAATTGCACAAAAGGCTGCAAACGAACAGCGCGCATCTGAAGTGTCTCTGAAGGAAATAATGCATTATTTATCGGCTATAAGATATCGGCCAAATTTTCTTATCAGGCCGATACCGATAACAGAAAAAATGAGCCGATATGGGCCGATACCGATATGGTGGCCGATATATCGTGCATCCCTAATCTTGTCATTACTTCCTGTTTTTGTTTAGTTTAGAAGTATTTGGTCCGTGTTGCGTTCATATTTCATTCAAACTGCACCAGAGTTCGTTTGGAAGCGGACCGAGACCCATCTTTTCAGCGGTCTCGGTCTGCTTGTTTGGTGCGCACCAGGGTTCGGATGGCAGTGTTCACACATGCTCAAATGAACCGTACTAACCGAGCAATTGCACCAGGATTTCGTTTTAATCGAACCAAACATGACAAGTTTGAACGCACCCTTACAGTAATAAGAACAACCTTAGTGAGATTTAAAAAGAAATAAATAAAATGTTCAGACATTAATGACAGTTTAAGGAGAAGATGTGTTTTATTTGTCATGAAAATGTTACCATACAAAATTCAATCATTTAAAGAGAAGTTTCATCTTTGTGAGCAAAGCATTTTTGTGAGATTCACCCTAGTATTGTCGGCCCTTTTTTCTGTTGTCCTATGTGTCCCCCCTTCTTTGCTGAAATTAAAGCTCCTGCCAATCACATTAACATTCACAAAGTCAGTGTCCTGTCACCTCTCAGCGAACTCATCTTTCACTTTTTGCCCCCTCCCTCTTTCCTTTCTCTGCCTTCCTTCTTTTGCCTCTCAGATATGAATGCCAACCCCAACAAGCGCCAGAGGCAGCCGGCTCTGCTGGGAGACCACCCTCCAGAGTATGGTAAGGCTTGCGGGGGGCACACGCGTTAACACATTTGCCTCATTTGCTCGCAAACAGGGGAGTGGATGTTAAACGACAACAAATTGGGGTGCATTGATCACAGTGGCAGCAAGATGGTGCTGTGTTGACATTAAAAGTTAAACTAAAGTGAAGGGTGTGTAAAATGCTTGTTTACCCCTAACCTGCCCATAACCCCCACCCCACGTGGTCTGTTTGTCATTTGTGGATTCTCAGGAGGTTATCACGGATACCAAGAGGAGAGCTACGGCGGCCCCTATGAAGGCCGACGGATGGGACCACCCATGGCTGGTCCAAGGCGTGGTGGAACCAGTCAGCGTTACGGCGGACAGTACGGCCCCCCTCCTCCGCCCCCCGGTGAATATGGCGCACATGCAGACTCACCGGTGATCATGGTCTACGGCTTGGATCCCTCAAAAATAAACGCAGACAGGGTCTTCAACATCTTCTGCCTGTATGGAAATGTGGAACGGGTATGTAGAACACCTAAATGTAAGCTGGATACTGTCAAAACGCAAACAACTTTATCTGAAATCCACTTTTCCCCTTTAAATGTAGGTGAAATTCATGAAGAGCAAGCCTGGAGCTGCTATGGTGGAGATGGGAGACTGCTATGCTGTGGATCGTGCCATCTCACATCTCAACAACAACTTCCTGTTCAATCAGAAGCTCAACGTATGGTACGTTCCAATTGCAATTTTTTAAATTTATTTAACTATGCATTAATGGCAGGCTGATTGCATATTTGACACAAAACAAATTAAGCTTATAAGGATTAGAATATTTTTTGGAATTTTAAAATATTTTTGTGACAATTTTCATACACATTTTTTAATCATTAAATGCATTAAAAATACTTCAATTGTGTTAAAATACTAAGTTTTGTTTATTTACATTGAGATTTTTTTTATGGCGATAAGATTTGAATGGTATGAGAGTAAAATGCAAATTCTTTTTTAATTTCTATAGATAGATAGATAGATAGATAGATAGTAGTTCAACTCTTTAATCGGTTTTCTTCTTCTTCGTGTCAGTGTGTCTAAGCAGCAGGCCATCATGCCCGGTCAGTCCTATGAGCTTGAAGACGGGAGCAGCAGCTTCAAAGACTTTCACGGGAGCAGAAATAACCGTTTCACTTCTCCAGAGCAGGCGGCAAAGAACCGCATTCAGCATCCCAGCAACGTCCTACACTTTTTCAACGCAGCACCCGAGGCTTCACCAGAAACCTTCACCAGGGTCAGTTCACATCAGAGGCAGAACCTTTCTCGTCACGTGATGCTATTTGATGTGTACGTTTACAACCTTCATCTCTTTTCAGATCTGTGAAGAACTTGATGTAAAGAGCCCTGCCAATGTCAAACCGTTCGCAGCTAAAGGTATGTGAAAATGTGCTGTCTTTAACTGAGGCATTGCAAATAACAGCATAGAAAGCTAAGCTCCGCACAAACGGATATAAAATAGTGGTCTCTATTAACTTGTAATGTCATCTATGCTCCTTCATTGTTGTAATGTGTCCAATGCTTCTTTTCTTTAATGAAAAGGTTCCACATCGGAGAGGAGCTCGTCAGGGCTTCTGGAGTGGGAGTCTGTTAATGACGCCATGGAAGCTCTTGCTATGATGAACCATCACCAGATGAAAAACCCCAGTAAGTGATCTGTTTTTTGCATGAAAGGGAAATTATTTCACTGTTAAGTATATATATATATCTTGATGTAGTTATTTTTGTCTTTAAAAATAAGAACCAAAAAGCAAATTACAAACAATAGGACAAATACAGTTTAGTCAAGAGCAGTACTTTTCTGTCTTTTGTTGTGTGGTTAACATTAATGACACAGACAGCAGCATTTAAATTAGGCTGCTCTCCCTTTATGACCGAATACACCGATCTAATATATTGATTAACATCTGATTTTCACACAGCTGTTTACTTTGATTTAAGACACAACCTGCTGTGTTCACGTGAAGACTCCACATTTTGACAGCTGTGTGTATTTATCCATTCAAACACAATAAGCCACATAAGTGGACTGAATATGTGATCACATAATGCCAAATAGTCTGTATTCAATTTTACAGGACAGTTGTAATTTACAACAGTAGTATCTATCTTGGTTCTGGCTTCGTTCCTCACTGCACCCAGCTTTAATGTTCAAAAAATGTGTACTTATCCTGTTTCTTTTGTTTCTCTCTGCAGATGGCCCATACCCATATACACTTAAGCTGTGCTTCTCTACTGCACAGCATGCAAACTGAACAGCATCTTCATCATCATCATCGTCCCAGTGTCAGCGCTCACTCCATCACTTCATCTTCCTGCTACTTTATTGTCCTTAAAGGCTCATTTGTGTGAGTGGGTGTGCAGACATGTTGAGTTGATCTTATGTTGATTGAGCCGCAGCATAAGCTGAGAGGAAAACTGACTGAACTCATTGTTTTTAATGGAAGAGAAGAGTTGAAATGCTTTTGTACCAGTATTGGGGTTTTGTTAACGGTGTTTTTTTTTTATTTTATTGCTTATCATGATTGACTGTTAGTTCTGGACTCAGCACCTTAGTTTTAGAAATGTCACCCTGTAAAGAAGACAGCATTGTTTTTTTGTTTTTTTTTTGGATCGTCAAATTAAAATCGTGATAATGGGTCTCTGTTATTGCTTTTGCTAGGGAACAATTGTGACTCATTTTTAAAAAATGCTGTTTAAACTTGTTTTTTTCTTCCTTTCAAAAGCTGCCTGGATGTCATTGCCCAGTGTATATTTGGAATTTGGAAAATCAAATGTATTCGGTTTAATAAAGAAATAATCTGCGTATTCAAAAATGGCTACTTCCTCTTGCCGATAATTGCAGATCGAGCTTGCACATGCATTCATAGGTTTCCAAGAGTCAAGAAAATATTAGGCCGCTTTAAAATAGTGATTTCCAGGCTTTGAGAACTCAGAAATGTAATTGATGTTTCTCATGTCAAGGTAAATTTCTCTGATTGTCCTGTGAATGGAGGCCCAGAAATCCAAATCGTCCAATGAGGTGCTTCAAATCATATTTATGCACCAACAGAGCAGGTCAGGGAAAGGGTCAGGAGTCCCGAGGTGATGAACACATCTTGATGCAGACTCGCCAATCTAATAGTTACTTTCAAATGACTGCAGTGGAACTAATGGACTGATATATCTAGCCATTCACAGCGCTTGTAACACGAAAAGTGGGATTTTTATTTAGATAATGTAGTACTCCAAAATACTCAAGTATTCTTTTTCTTTTTTGTTAGCCTGGTTTTGTGTCTGTCTTTTTTTCCCTGTACTGTTCTGTGTTTTTGATTTCTGTGTATAATTTGTATACTCGCAAAATAATAATACATTTTAAAAAGATTCAGTCACAGTTAAGTAAAGAAGATACAGAATAGATGATATTACTAAACAAGAATGATATATTATTTACATTGCGTATAATATAGATTTTTCACATTTTAAAGTCGATCTGATTTGTTCTCAAAATTGTATAGGTTACTTATGAGTTAAGATAAATAACGAGCAAAACTCTTAGCGCTAATACATTCTATTTTAGTTTTGAAAAATATCTTATACAAAATAAAGTTACAATATTTAAAATATAATACTAAAAGTCAGTTTCATTTACAGTTACAAACACACACACACTCTTCAGCAGCGTACACTTATTCCGGAAGTACAGCATGCGCAGGAGCGGAAGTTCAACGTTAGGACGTAACATGCTAGAAAGTTCCCCGGATTATAAGTACAGTGCGAAGGTCAGAAGCGTGCGGACAGAGTGAATTGCAGCAAAGTAATATTAAAATAGCAGGGCTTTCAGCAAGTCTCGGATCTTTTCGGGAGTTCGTCATAAAAGAGCAACATGCCCAGAGGAAGCCGAAGCAGAACTTCGAGGATGAGTCCTCCCAGGTGGGTGAGAGAGAGATGTGTCAGCTAACTGCTAACTTACTTAACCAACAGTTTAATTCAGCAACAAACATCTCAACCGTCACTGACGTCCTTTAAAGCATATGAGTTATTAGCTATTATGATGGCCATGAGCAAACGAGCCGGCGGGTAGTATTATATCAAATGTATGGTGTTACCTATGATTATAATCTAAAACACTTTTAATTGTTCTCCGCTTAGTCCGCTCTGAAATGTTTCATTAGGTAGTGTTCGGTGTAAAGCCGAGAGCATACTTGCAAGTTTCGTTTTTTCGGTTATTTAAGTGCATCATCCGGGTATTTAATCCAGATCCAACTACTCCCACTTTACATATACCTAAACCTACCCGTCTCCGTCCCCACCCCTAAACCCACCCATCCCCATCCCCACCCCTAAACCCACCCATTCCCCACCCATAAACCTACCCGTCCCCACCCCTAAACCCACCCGTCTCCACCCCTAAACCTACCCATCCCGTGTTAGTAAAATATTTTGTTAGGTTTTTAAATATTAATATTGAACGTTAGATGACAGTTTTATTTAATTAAAGGGGTCATATGATGTTGTTAAAAAGAACATTATTTTGTGTATTTGGTGTAATGAAATGTTTACGCGGTTTAAGGTTCAAAAAACACATTATTTTCCACATACTGTACATTATAGTTTCTCCTCTATGCCCCGCCTTTCTGAAACACGTCGATTTTTACAAAGCTCATCGGTCTGAAAAAGCGAGGTGTGCTGTGATTGGCTGAATTCCTCAAGCGTGTGACGGAAATGTTACGCCCCTTAACATACTATGATGCTTGCGGCAACCACATGTGACGACCCCGGACTGGACTCCGCTTCGTCCACGTCTTTGCGTGAACATTTGGGCGGCGTTATGCAATTCTTCCCAGATAGTGATGTAGGTATGTGGGGGGCGTGTTAGAACGAGCCGTTTTAGGTAGGCGTGGCTGACTCTTAATTTTATAAAGAATATCTCTTTGGATTTGAGACTTTAGTCTTTGCAACTTTAGGGATCTTATCTATGCACAATCAGCATGTAACACTCCAAAGAGAAAGGAAAAATTGAAATCACATCATATGACCCCTTTAAAAAATCTGTTAAAAATAATTAAATAAACAGGCATAAGGAAATATTTAATTGAGTAATAAATGTAAAATATCTACTGATAAATATCTAAAAAGTATCTAATGTCAGTGAAATATAACCCATATGGTACCAAAATGTATTGTGTATCAGTCACTATTTGGTCTTGCATAGCAACCACCTAGTTGACCCTAGCAACCATATAGAAACCAACAGCCATAAAAATATCAAATATTGATGAAAACCCAAATCTGTCATGGAAATTAATTAGTGTGTGAACCTTGTATTAATAGATCTTACTGTACAGGTCAATGATTGTGTGTTTTCACTCTAGTTACTCCTCACCATCACCTCCACCAATGGCCAGAGCAGCTCCTCCACGATCATACGCTCCAGCGCCCGCTCCCCCTCCACCATCAGCAGTGGCGGCTCCTGCTGCTGCTCCCCGTCAGCCGGGAATGTTCGCCCAGATGGCGTCCACTGCGGCGGGCGTTGCTGTCGGCTCTGCTGTCGGACACACAATAGGTCACGCCATGACTGGCGGCTTCAGTGGAGGTGGAAACTCAGAAGCTGCCAGGCCTGATGTTACCTATCAGGTGAGCACAAATCCAAACTACTTGTTTGAAAAGATACACTTAGCTCTCCCTTGTGTACTTTTAAAAAGAGTACTTGTTAACAGAAATAATGTAGTTTAGAATTGCAAACTGATATGTTTTTTGGACCCTTATCGTATTGGCCCGAATATAAGACGACCCTGATTATAAGACGACCCCCCTTTTTCCAGATGTACCTTTTGGAAAAAGGCTTTTTAAAAACCAAATCTTGTTTTTTTTTCTCAGTAAAACATATTTTGTCTTCAATTATTTTCATATTGCATATTTTTCCTATTTTAATTTTTGTTTTGAAAGTATGGTAAAAACTGGTAAACCGTACCAACAATCACATTTATAAAATAGACACTTTTTGATATACCATTAAAAAATTTAAAATAAAACAGGTAGCCATCTGAATTAGGACATTTAGGCTATCCATCTAATATTAGCCTACCAAAAATCTTACTTTAGTCTTCAAATCTGGGTACTGTCTTACGTTTTAAAATCACAAAGAGAGTTTGGTCCCATCAGGCTAACGTGACAGTCACGACTCATGCAGCTGTAAGCTTTTCTTTTTCTTTTGTTTTTACTCGCGATCTTTACAACACGCATTACATTACATATATTTTTAAGATGTTAAGTTCACTAGAGGTGCACATTCAGTACATTTAAGCACTTCTTTTTCACAAGGGCTAATATATTGTATAAGCTATGAAACTGCTGTTTGTGAGTACAGTCTCTACAAAATATATTTTTAAAGGGGTCATCGGATGCTACATACACTTTTACAAGTTGTTTGAACTGAAATGTGTGTTGGCAGTGTGTGTCCACAACCACCCTATAATGATAAAAATCCACCCAGTGTTTTTTTTTTATCTACTAAAATCGTTACCCCTTTCTCAAATCAAGCCGATCTCGGATGCCTGTCTGTGTGACGTCACAAAAACAGGCCCCTCCCACGATAGTTTGATTGACAGTAGCGTTTCAGCACAAACTGGACTGGTGTCTTACCTTAGCTCCGCCCTGAGTGACTGTCATCAGTCCGCCATTGTTTCACCGCCGGAGCAGATGTAGACAAGAATGACTCCTGAGCGATTGAGGTGTTCTGTTGTTGGATGTAATAATGAACATAGCAGTCATCATTTACTCCCGACATCTGAGCCACTGAAGACGCAGTGGATTACGTTTGTTTCTGAAGGGAATGCATCGATCCCCGATCTACATAAATGCGTCTATGTTCACGCAAATCATTCGTGATCCAGCTTCACCTCCAGAAGAAGTGAGTATTATGTTTTGTAATCAATCTTTGCAGATCGCCTTTCCTAATAATGTGCTAATTAGCAAGTTTCACGATGAATGCGTCTAAAGTAAACAGTCCCTCAGATTGCAGCTCGGAAGAGAGGGGCGGGGTCAGCAGAGCTCATTAACATTTAAAGGGAAATGCTACAAAACGGATCGCTCTGAAAAGAGCTGTTTTTGACAGGGTAAAAAAGGTGCTTTTTCACTACCATTGAGAAATTTTAACCAAACTATGTTACAGACTTTTCATTAAGACCCTAAAGAATCATATCAACTTGTGGAAAATGGCCATCCAATGACCCCTTTAAATCCTTGTGTAGAAATGTTGTCTGACAAACATCATGTACATCCCATGTATTAATAATTATGTAAAGCTTTTATATTTGGCTGACCTTGCTAAATGATTTTAGGATTTCTTCATTAAAATAACAATGTAATGACTTCAACCGAATCTTGAAAGCTTCTTTATCCTAAACGGTCCCACAGGAGCCCTACCAGGGTCAGCCCATGTACCAGCAGCAGCAGCAGCAGAATCCCTGTGCTTATGAGCTGAAGCAGTTCATTGAATGTGCTCAGACGCAGAGCGACCTCAAACTCTGTGAGGGCTTCAGCGAAGTGCTTAAACAATGCAAATTCTCCAGTGGTATGTACACAGAAGTTGTTAGTGGCACCAGTTTGCAAAGTTGTAGAATTAAATGCTTTTAAAAGTTTATTTAAAGCTTTGAGTGAAATGCAGTAAAGCGTACGTTTTGAAATCTGCACCTATACGTCTAATGTAAACCAGTATTTTAGTCAATTATATTTGGATAAATGAATGTTAATTATTGGATTTATTTGCTGTCAGACTGATGGGATAGTAAGGCACTTATTGTTCGAAATCAACTGAACGTTTATTATTACCGAATGTATTGAACAATGCTTGCGTGTTTCTAGCTTGACCGGAGTAAAGCATTAAATGGCGTCGTCTGGTGGGTCTTTAAAGAATAGCAGCCAAATACAGAATTACTTTGCTGTGCACTCAACAGGAATCAGCCGTTTTCAGAATTACCTTTTCATAAATGATGCATCATTCACATCAATAACATAGTTGTTCTGATCACATGCATTCTTGATGATTACAGCAATTTATTTACAGTTTTTATTTACAAAAATGGACGGTTTTTGACTGGTGTTAACTGCTGATCAATAGCTGAACAAATGGTTAATACCAGTAGTTTAACATGAACCATTATATTTATGCAAAGTTGTTCCCTTGTTGCAATCTATGGTGTATGCAACATACAGTTTTATAGATTATGTAATGCCGACATCAGTTTGCTCCGGCAACATTCTTTTGCTGCCCCCCCCCCTTATGGTTTTTCATTGTAGTATATTGGTTGTATTGTCCTAAAGTTATTTATTTATCTATTTATTAATGAATTTATTGATTTTCCTCCCACAGGACTGTCATGAGGTTTGGATTGGAAACACGACTATTCCATAGCCATTCACTGTCTGCTTGCTTCTGGAAAAAGTTTCCTCTTAAAATCAGATATTAGGGCCTACGTATAAAATAAAATCAGTGAATGCTGTGTAACATATGTGATGCATAGTATTGATATATTTGGTGTAGATAACTGCAGCTTTCTGATTTGGTGTTTTTTTCGGTTTGAGTTACTGTAGAAGAGATCACAATGTGAATTTCTCTGCAGGATAATTTAAATGTTTTACTCCAATTATGTGATCTTGAATTGCAAATAAAAGAATCGGAAACATTCAAATGCTCTTTGCTGTCGTTTTTCCCCAAATCGTCCATTCAAATATATAGCATGACCAGATACCAAACCCCCCCATATATGATCTTACATTTAGATAAAATAATAAATTGTAATTGTGTGTTTTTATTTATTTATTTTACATTATGATTAATCGATACAGAAATGTCTGTGTGAACCGGTTTTATTATTATTAGCGTGCATAACCGTCAGTGATCATACGATATGGGACTGTCCTGTCTTTACCGCGAGGAACATTACATGACCGAATACGAGCGTGTTTTACCAGCACAGCTCGTTATAAATCAAGTTTTAATGTCAGAACGCTACAAATAATAACAGTAACCGAAATAAAGCAGCAGACACATGAAACACGCTGACCCATATTAATTGAAGCCGGATAATAAAACCACTGGTATTTACATGGTGCTCTAAAGAATACCAAGGCATGTGTCAGAAATGGTATTGCATGGTATTACTACGACAAACGAATCACTGAATTATATACATGTGCATGCTAGTACCATGTAAAGTCCATGGTATTTGAATGTGGTGATTATTTAGTAGCCTTGTATATTTCAGTATACCCTGTTATTACCATAATTTACATACTACTTATGTAAAGGTTTTGAGGTGTGTATATCTATATCTATATAGATATATATATATATATATATATATATATATATATATATATATAT